CTTAAGGGAATTATGCTAGAAGTTCCTCCGTAGGTAGGCTGCATCTGTTCAGGTGGGTCTTTCTTATCCCGTTAAAGTGGAGACGCTGGAATCACTGCTTCCTCGCCGGCTGCCATGTTGGATCAACACCCCGCAAATTTACTCTTGTAACAAAAAAGACTTAGAACCCTGAAATCATCTCCCGTACCCCCACCAAATTTGTTAAAGAGTTTTTAGCAAGTAATCACACAACCAATCCTGTAAGGTCCATCCATAAGGTCCCAGATCTCTCTCTCCAGAAACCACCAAGCATGTGCACTGGGCGCAGATGCTGAGCACCCTCAGGTAGGATCTAGCTAACCTGGTTAATTAGCCAAGAGGAACCAGTACCTCTTGAAACCATTAAAACAATGTTTATTCCCATAGCACTGGGACCTCTTGACTTCAGGAGCATTTCTCAGTGTTGTAGGAACAATTTTCTGCTCAGAGAACACATCTCTTCTGTTACTGGGTCTGGCTAGAAGGAGCTACATTTGTTTGAAAGCACTCTGAAAACTTCCCATTGACATAACAATTTGAGGAAATGTTACTTAGTGTTAATATCTTCCCAAGGGACCCTTAAGTCTTTGCGTTTATGCAAATTTAATTTTCCTATTTTAATATACTGAAGGTTCTGAATTTAACTGCCTCAGGGACAGTGTTCACATAATTCAATAAATATCTAGTGCTTAGTTGATCAGGTTCTATACCAAATGATAAAGGTAAGAAGAATAGCCTATGAGAACAATAAATATTCAGATACATTTTCAAATGTCTCAGTCATCACAGAAAATATAATGTCATCCATGAAGTCCATCACTTTTGTGAATATAATCAGCCTTTATTAGCAAATCTAAGGATAAGGTGCAGTAGCTGAAATGATACTGCTGGCAACAAAATACTTACATGTGTCAATTTTGTTGCATTTCCATTTCTTTTATATGGAGGAAATGAACAGATCTCAGTCATCTTTAAAATAGCAGGAAGGAGTGACAGTTTCCTGAAGAATTTTTTCCCCAGATTTACATAACGGACAAATTATTTCGGGGAGAAGGGATGCACAGGCAGTGACAACACTAGACACGGGCAGCCCTCCACCGCCTTGGACCCTTCTGGAGGAGTCTGCTTCTACCATAGGACATCCTGTGACCTCACCAGGAGTCCTGTCCTCCTGCCAGGGCTGATGGCTCAGAATGCAAACCCAGTCTACATTCAACACATGCCTCAGTTGACCGTCCATTTCTAACACTGCCTGGCTTTAAACAAGGAGTTGGACTAAACTACCCAAACCACCCAAACCACCTTGGCAATGGAGATAACTGAAGCAGAACAGCTCACCTGTGTAGCTCATGTAATTCTCCCTTTAAACTCTAGGATTCCTTCACCCTAAAAATTAGCTTTCTTTTAATAAGCATTGACACTTTCTTCTAACATAAGGGCAAATCTTATTGAGTGAGGGTGTTTTCTTCATAGTATGAACTCTTGGAGCGGAAAGAGCTCAGGATTCTGGCATTTCTACCCCTATGCAGGAGTCTTTGATGTCTATACTTGTTCCTCTGAACCATAGTGCATCTGTGATCATGCCGCTTTCCTGTGTCACACGTTGATGTCTATACATCATCCCACACCAGGGGACCAGGTATAGTGGGATAAACCACGGCAGTCTTAGCTTTCTGCATTTCACTGGATAGGGAACTCGGCACCCAATGAAGGCACCCAGTGAGGCTGTGAGGGATGCTAGCTGTATGTGGGGAGGCAGAGTTAAGGACTCCTTGGTTTGGTGCAGGTTGGTGCAATGTACTTAAAACAGTTGTACAGTTTAGAAGGCTGTCGGTAATGATCTGTTGTTTCAAATGGTTGCAGTTGTTATGCCTCATTTTACTTAACATTTTTTCTCACACAGATATGACTTTTAAGTTATGATATAATCTAATGAAAAAAAAACTCTATCCCCCAAAGGCATAAACATTAGAAATGAAGAGTCATTTAAAAAAAATCTTTATAGGTAATATGACCTCTACCAAGTAAATCTGAGACTAATCAGAAAAAAAAGTTGTGTGACCCAACATCAGTTAAGTTTGTTAAAAGATAAGTAATAGCATTTCTGATAAAATACATTAAATATGTTCCTGAAAATTTTTGTTTTGAGAAGTTATATATTTACTATTAAATGATAAGAATTTTGAGAAAAATGGGATAGAGGCAGACACATAAAATCTAGGAAATTTTGTAATGAGTTTATCCCAAAATGTTTTTGATCACAGTAAAATGTGAATATGTTTAATAATGCTGTAGAAATTAAAGAATTTTACTAGAAAGAGGTGAAAGAAGCTCAGGAGGTGTTCAAGGAGCAGGGGAGGTTACGGAGGCACAGAAGCATCGATACAGCATGGAGACCAGGCTGAGCTGTGCCAAGAACCAAGACAGGTGGTGGCCCGACTGGCGTGGAGGCAGGAAGTGGTTCAGGGAGCAGGTGCACAAGGCCCTGCCTCTCGGAGGCCTGCTGCTATGGCATGTGTGGAGCAAAGCGCTGGGAGGAATGACATCTCATAATGAGACCCTCCATCACCCATTTACCAGTGTGTGTGAGCCATGTCACCTTACAGAGGCACACTGGTTAGCAAACTGAACTGATTACTAAACAAGAAAGTATTAAAACTTACATGGCATTCATGGCTAGTTATAAAAATAGTGGAAAAAGATCTTGTTTGCCATGACAACATCATGGAGAAATACCTAGGAAACATGTTTAATAAGAAGTGTGTGGGGTCTCTATGAGGATTAGTCTAAAACTCAAGGAATTTTGGAAAAAAGATTCAAAATAGGGATGAGAAGATGTATTATTACACACATATCAATTTTATTCAGATTTTAAACATTTTTTATGGGATTCCATGGATCTCCTAATGGGATTTGATGCTGGCTGTTCCCTTTGTCCCACCCCCTCCAGAACTAAGGTCCACCCTTCTCCACCTGACTGTCCGACCTCGGCAGCACGTCAGCAGGGTCCCATGGAAGTTTTCAAGGGGTTCAACCCATGAGGCATCTTGGAGCTCTGAGCAGTAGAGGGCAGTCACTTCATTGTGTTTTCCCTCCTGCCTCATACCTCCCCAGTGGCAGGACTTTGAACTCTGCTTTTTTTCTTTTAAATTTTTATTTTTAAAATTTGTTCTAATTAGTTATACATGACAGTAGAATGCATTTTCACAAGTTGTACACAAATGGAGCACAACTTCTCCTTCCCCTGGCTGAACATGGTGCAGAGTCACACTGGTAGTATAATCGCACGTGTATACAGGGTAATAATGTCCATTTCATTCCACTGCCCTTCCCATCCCCACATCCCTTCCCCTCTCTCACTCCCCTCTGCACAGTCCAAAGTCCCTTCATTCTCATCCCCCAATTATAAATCAGCATCTACTTATTAGAATAATCAGCCTTTGTTTTGGGGGGGTTTACCTTATTTTGCTTAGCATAATATTCTCCAGTTCCATCCATTTACTGACAAATACCATAATTTTATTCTTCTTTAAGGCTGAGTAATATTCCATTATGTATATGAACCACATTTTCTTTATCCATTCATCTGTTGAAGGGCATCTTGGTTGGTTCCATGTTTTAACTATTGTGAACTGAGCTGCTATAAACATTGATGTGGCTGCATCACTGTATTATGCTGATTTTAAGTCCTTTGGGCTTAAACTGAGGGRTGGGATAACTGGGTCAAATGGTGGTTCCATTCCAAGTTTTCTAAGGAATCTCCATACTACTTTCCAGAGTGGTTGCACCAATTTGCAGTCCTACCAGCAGTGTATGAGTGTACATTTCCCCCGCACATCCTCACCAACACTTATTGTTATTTGTATTCTTGATAACTGCTATTCTGACTGGAGTGAGATAGAATCTTAGGCTAGTTTTGATTGGCATTTCTGTAATCACTAGAGATGATGAACATTTTTTCATATGTTTGTTGATTGTATTTTTTCTGTGAAGAGTCTGTTAAGTTCCTTAGCCCATTTATTGATTGGGTTATTATTATTATTATTTTTTGGTGTTAAGTTTTTTTGGTTCTTTATATATCCTGGATATTTGTTCTCTATCTGAGGTACGTGTGGTAAAGATTTTCTTCCATCCTGTAGGCTCTCTCTTCACATTATTGTTTCCTTTGCTGAGAAGAAGCTTTTTAGTTTGAGTCCATCCCACTTATTGATTTTTGTTTTTGCTTCCTTATGCTTTAGGAGTCTGGTTAAAGAAGTCAGTTCCTAAGTCAACACTGTGGAGATTTGCTCCCACTTTTTCTTCTATTAACTACAGGGTCTCTGCTTTGGCGCCTATGGCTTTAATCCACTTTGAGTTGATTTTTGTGCAGGGTGAGACACAGAGGTTTAATTTCATTTTGCTACATAGGAATTTCCAGTTTTCCCAGCACCATCTGCTCAATAGGCTATCTTTTCTCCAGTGTATGTTTTTGGTGCCTTTGTCTAGTATGAGACAACCCTATTTATGTGGGTTTGTTTCTGTCTTCCATTCTGTACCATTGGTCTACCTGCCTATTTTGGTGCCAATACTATGCTGTTGTTGTTGTTTTTCCACTATTGCCCTGTAGCATAGTTTMAGGTCTGGTATTGTGATGCCTCCTGCTTCATTTTTCTTGCTAAGGACTGGTTTGGCTATTCAGGTCTCTTGTTTTTCCAAATGAATTTCATGACTGCCTTTCCTAGTCCCATGAAGAACAGGAGCTCTGCTTAAGAGGGCCCTGTCYACAGGACTTTCAAAGACTTTGTTTTCTTCTACTTTCTGGAAACTGCTCTCCCCTCTGGCCAGAGATGGGAACAGTGAGCCATGACCAGCCCTGCTGTACTGTCCACGCCATTCCCTGCGTCTTGGTTCTGTGGGAGCTGGGCAGTGGGCAAGTCTTCCCGTGTGTCATGATGCCGTTTCAGGTTCTGCCTTCTCTACACAGACTGTTATTTCTCTTCTAGGAAGTCATTACATCCATGGATTGCTTCAAACGCTACAATCACATTTGGCAAAAGGAGAAAGAAGAGACCATTATGACATTTATTAMGCAAAACCCTTTGCTTTCTGAATTTGAGTCCCAGATTCTTTATTTCCAAAACCTGGAGCAGGAAATTAATGCTGAGCCTGAATATATCTGTGTGGGTTCCATTGCTCTGTTCACAGGTTGGTTCATTTTCTTTCAGACACTTACATAAAAGGTATCTTTTTTTTTTTTAAAATCTCTTTACCTAGATTAGTATCCCAGAGAATACTAATATTAAGATATTCTAGCTATCTTAAGGATTGACTTTCCTTTCATGGGCCTCAAGCTTTAAGACCAATTTGTAGAATTGTCTTTAATTCCCTTCTGCAAAATTATTTATTCTGGACTATTTGGAATACTTTGATGCTAAACCTTGGAAATAAAGGCTGGTTTAGAGAAAAAGGATACAATCTTCTATATTTAGAATCAAGATTCRTCCTTCCTTCAATAAATAACAGTAACAAACATTTGAGGCTTGTCTCAGAGGGTTTTGATAGCTATCTTTTTTTCAAAGCATTTCAAAATGCATTTTGAATTGTTGCAAAAACAGGATTTACAAAATGAATGAGCATATAATGATTCAGAAATGTTTTCCCCAGTTTTATTTTCATGTTTTCGAGAGTTACAGGCTGCAGAGTGCTCACTGTGAGTGAACACAGTGCTACTGCACTGTATCTTTTCACACTGATCCAGTTTTTCMAACTGAACTCTGGATATTTGGGTTGTACAGCTGACTTGAAATTTGCCCTAACCACGGAGACAAAAGCCTGGATGCTTGTCATCGGCCGCCACTGTAACAGAAAATACAGGAGCGAGATGGAAAGCATCTTCACCCTGGTGGAAGAATTCAGTAAGAAACTGAGTCGKCCAATTAAGGACCTAGATGATATTCGGATCGCGATGGCCACCCTGAGAGAAATCAGGGAGCAGCAAATCCCCATCGACTTTCAAGTAGGACCCGTCGAGGTAACTGATCCCTGTTTGTTTAGTGCAGAAACGTTTTCACATGTAGAAGCCATCGACTGACGTATGGACCAGGTCTGGGCTGGAATTACAAATGGTGCAGACCCCAGAACCACTGCACTAATGATGATGCTTCACCTTTGTCCAGTTCCTTTCGTGGGCTAGTTCTCATCCATGACATGCCATCCCAGGTCCCCAAGAACAGGGCCTGTGATGACAGTTTCTAAGTTAAATATTTACTGATAAGCACTGACCAGAGGAGGGGAGTGAAGGAAACAGGAAAGGACGGTGGTGTCAAAGCTAAGTGCCACGTGGTTTCAGCTGTTGGCTAAATTCAGCCCGATCCCCGGGGAGCTGCCCCCAGGAACTTCACCACACTTGGTCCCACCTTGAGGCCAGGGAGACTGACCCTTTGCCTCCAGGCCAGTGGTCATGGAGGAGGCKCCCGTGCAGCAGAAGGCAGTTTTCCAGGGAGGGAGGCAGGGTGGTCCTTACAACTCTCGGGAGTTGGGCTGGGACTCCCAGCTGTGAGCAGGACCAACCCTCCCACAGCCCTGCTTTCCACACAGGGAACAGGCTCCAAGAACCGTGCAGCTTGACCTGTGTTGCACACCACTGTGGTTTTGGTGCCATATCTGGCTATCTTTCCCACAAAGAAATCGTGTATCAGAAGTGGGTCATGTATGTACTTTTCACAAAAAATTCCAGACATAAAACATTGTCATTTTATCACGTTGTAATGAAATGTCTGGTCTTACCCTCTGATGGTCGAGATCAGACTCCAGCCTCACACTTTCCRCAGTACTCTTTGTATTTCTAAAGATTTCACGATCCTGTGAGGATAGTACAGGTCACTACACATTTATCCTTTGTCCTGGGGGGCCGTGGGGTCCCGTCTTCCGTCACGTTCTTCTTGGGAATGGAAACATCAAGGCAAACAGTCTGCTCCTTGTGCAGGACCAGGGAATTCCCGGGGTTTGAAGAGGAGGTGAAGTAGCTGACAGTAGCATTTTCTCCTCCTTGGGAGTCAAGACAGAAATGGAGTCAAGGTGTCAGGATGACGGTATAACCTTTATGCTGATAGAGCTCATTCAGAAGACKTAACGGAGTGCACCTCTCTGGTTATCGCTTTCCCGATCCACCAAACGTGCATGCACACACCCTGGACTTGGGAGCACTGAATCCCAGGATCAGTGCACTTTCTTACCCATCAGRGGCAACCCTGGGACGCCGCAGGCCTCTCTGTTACCCTGATCCACATTTGTGGTATGGAGGGACCGGTCACAGGAGTGCTTTCAAGAAGGAAGAGAGAAGAGCGAGAAAGGCCCAGGGCCTTACTTGCCCAAATCAACATCCTCTGCCCCCCAAAATCAGCAGTCAGGTYTCATTTCTCCTCTGTGGGGAGGAGTAGTGGTGGGAAAAGAGGCCAGGGATATTTAGGGAAAATCATTTCTTATGGCACCAAACTCTGCTTATTTTAATTTTTCAGCTGAAAGAGTGATCCCAGGTTTTGCAGTCTGGGGGCAATGATTCGGCCCAGGTTCTGACTCCAGAACACCCACTTAGGTCTGACTACTGGAACCACTTAGCGACAAAGTGGCATGGGGCCAAGTTAAAATTCTGATTTATTTTGTTATTCTAATATTAGAATTGAAATTGTTTTAATGCTTTCAATTTACTTGATATGATTGTGTAGTCTTCAAGTACAATCTGGAGGCCTAAGAAAAGCTATCTTTTATTTGTGTAGCAATTTATAGTTTTAAAAATGCATTTAAAATAATATTTTTTAGATACTAGCAAAGATCCTGAAGCATAGCCAGGGAATTTTCTAGTTTCCAGGATGAGAAAACCGGAGCTGAGTAGCTCAGTCACTCTTTTAAGTTCTTAAATTTGCAAGTACAGTAACTAGAATCCTGAGGGTGAGGTCATGATCACCCTGTCACACTGATCTATTCCCCTCCGATGCTTTAGTAAATGACCGTGTGTAGGTTTCTATATCTGTCAGGAATTAAGCTTTTCTTCTTTCACGTAGGAATCTTATGCCCTGCTTAACAAATACGGACTTCTGATAGCCAAGGAAGAGATGGACAAGGTTGACACTCTGCGCTATGCTTGGGAGAAGCTCCTGGCACGTGCCAGCGAAGTTCAGAATGAACTGGTCTCTCTACAGCCTGGTTTCAGGAAAGAGCTTATCAGCACTGTGGAGGTCTTCCTCCAAGACTGTCACCAGTTTTATCTGGACTATGATTTGGTATGACTTTGGCTTTCTCTGGGTTTATTTTCAGGGAAGAGTAAAAACAACAAACAACATGTTATTGTTTGAAAACGATGTGTTGAATTTCATAAAACTTTTTTAGAAATTGGGATTTTATTTTATATGTGTGTGTGTGTGTGTGTGTGTGTATAATATATTAGTAGTAGGTGGACACAATACCTTAATTTGTTTATTTATTTATTTATATGTGGTGCTGGGGATCAAACCCAGTGCCTCACGCATGCTAGGCAAGTGCTCGACCCCTGAGCCACTGGGATTTTATTTTTGCAGAGGAGTTTCATAAAGTATTTTCTTTCCATAATTCCTTCCCCTTAAAGTTCATCAGAAAAATTTCAAACGAAATGGGGGGTTTAAAAGTGCTATTCATATTGTATGATTGGTCTGGTACGGGRATTGCTTAATAGCTTTCTGAATTTCTAAATTCAAATATAGATACTGTTCCTCCTTTCCAAAGCATTCCTTAGTTTTACAAATGAACGAAGCACGTGCCAGGCACTGTCCTTTGTGCTGAAGATACAGTGGTGGGGAAGACAGATGGAGCCCTTGTCCCACGGAGACCATATTTTAATCATATGTACGGGGTTTAGTGCAGAATCTTCTAGTGGAAATGTGGTGTGTAATGAGATCCGTTTCCAGCTAATTATCATGTGCTACCCAAGAGAAATATGTATAGCATGGGGTAAATTTCAAACCTGTTAAGTAGTAGCAGACCAAACCACAAAGCTAATAAAGTTTGAGGTTGAACCCACGGAGTCACTTCATAGATGAAGAAGCACAGAGACCCACACATTTAAGTATCGTAATGTAGGGAAAATGAATTGTAATATTGTGTACRCAGTTCACKTTACAAGTAGGTATTAGAGTGTTGAAGTCTGCAAATTAATAGCATGAGCATTTCTGCTGAAACAGAAGGACGGGCTTCTTCCAGAGGAGCCATTGAGTCTTTTTTGCCTGTGTCATCTAAGAAGTGAATAATACATATTTAGAATTTTCAAGGCCTTTTAACTTATGGAAATAGCATTAACTTGGGTTTTTCAGACTTGAGACACAGTTCCAACTGAATCACTTTCTGAGTCATTTTTACCCATAAAAACTATTTTCCTGTTATGTATATGACGTGTATGAAAACAACTTAGGTACTCAAACACTTTGAACTTATGAAATTTGTATGCAGACACTTCATTTCATTTTATGTTTAATTGTTTTGCCTCAGAATGGTCCGATGGCCAGTGGCTTGCAGCCTCAGGAAGCCAGTGATAGGCTTATCATGTTTCAGGTAACATTTCAATTTCTACAACTTTTACAAATAATGAAAACCTTATTGAGTTTAAAACTTACATATGCTTTTTAAAGACATAAAAGCTTATTGTGGAATATGAGATGCATTTACATTTTTTTAAAAAAATGTCTTTATTTTATTTATTTATTTTTATGTGGTGCTGAGGATTGAACCCAGTGCTTCACATGTGCTAGACAAGCATTCTACCACCGAGCCACAACCTCAGTCCACATTTACCTTTTTATGTGTATATGATTTGTTGTGGTTCCCATTAGAAGGGGTATTCCTGTGAATTAATTGCACTCATTAAGTGTTCTTAGTTACGTATGTCAGAAATCATAATTCTTGTTTCTTTGCTAGTATTTTCACTTCCKTGTTTGTTCATGTGTAAATCATTTTGATGAGTTTTCACTTGTGTTGTTTTTAGAATCAGTTTGATAATATYTATCGGAAATACATCACCTACACTGGCGGAGAGGAACTGTTTGGTCTGCCTGTGACGCAGTATCCCCAGCTTCTTGAAATAAAGAAACAACTAAATCTGCTGCAGAAAATATACACACTGTACAACAGTGTCATAGAAACGGTGAATGGCTATCAAGATATCCTTTGGTCCGAAGTGAATATTGAAAAAATCAACAGTGAGCTCTTAGAATTCCAGAACAGGTGAGAAATGAGATCCCTGGCATGCCAGAGCTATGGCTTCAAAGGCTTGCTTCTGGGATGGGCCGTTGGGTTTGCTTTCCACCCGGATGCTTCAAAAGCACATGGTGCTGCCTCTCTGTTGTCTGTTGACAGCGTCCTCATGAATCGCTCTGTTAATGGCCCCTGTGTGTAAGTGGTGAGAGGCGCCTCCTCTAAACCTGGATGAATCTTGTCAGGCCTTTCCTGCAGTGTGGAGGGAGCTGGGCTTGATTTGTATTACATGTCCCAAACATTTGAAGTTAATGTTAGCTACTTTCCTGGAATCAAAGCAAGAGGCCCGTGGTTTGTCGTTTCAAGTGCTGAACCCAGGGAAGATGGGYGGCCCTTGTCTTGCGTGTGAGTTGATGCGCTGTGCTGTGCTTTGCACTTAGTATGTTCTCCCCATCTGTTTGGAGAGTTGAAATGGATTCAGAGGCACCTCTAACCTTTGATGTAATGCTTCTACCTAAGTAATTGTTATGAGGGATGGAAAAAATAAAGACTTTGCTGACTTGGGAGAATCGATTTTATGTAAAACATGCCAGTAAGTTAAACTAAGAGATAATGTCTAAGTCTTGAAATTTCAAAATCAGATAAGTATTTGAAAAGACTTCTTTGAGTTTTTGCAGTGCTGGGACTTGAACCTGGGGCCTTGTGCATRCTAGGCAAGCACTCTATCACTGAGCTCCACCCAGCCCTTCCACACTGGTTTCTCTTCACAGGTGTCGGAAGCTGCCCCGAGCACTAAAGGACTGGCAGGCTTTTTTGGACCTGAAGAAGACCATTGATGATTTCAGTGAGTGCTGCCCCCTGCTGGAATATATGGCCAGTAAAGCCATGATGGAGAGGCACTGGGCGAGGATCGCCGCCGTCACTGGGCACAGTCTGGATGTGGGGAATGAAACCTTCAAGTTGAGAAACATCATGGAGGCACCTCTTCTGAAGTACAAAGAGGAAATAGAGGTATAGCTCATCAAGTCTGATGTGGAGGAAGATCGGAAGGTCTGATGGGATTTATTCCATAGCACTCCCATATTGTGGGGCAAACCACATTAGGACAATTGGAACTCTTGGCATTCAGCCATTAACTCCTGAGCAAGTGGTTGTCCAGTGCATACCTATGCGACAGGTTCTGAGGGGGGACATAAAGATGTCTTCCTGTATTCAGAGACCATTAAATAATCAGTAAAATAATCATGCGAATCRAAGTGTAGTTATAAGCTGTAGTAAATGCCACTGATGGAAAAGGATGCTATCAATGACAGCCTGTGATACAGGGGTTTGTCGCTTCCGGGGATGATAAAGGTAGGGCAAGCTGGGCTGGCTGTGTGAGTGAGCATGGCCATGTAGTGGAGATGAGGAGCTGTGTAAGTGCAAAGAGGACCATTCCAGGAAGAGAGGAAATCATGTGTGAAGTATCTGAAATGTGTTGGAGCAAGCAAAAGATGGCTGTGGTCTTGGCTATGGAGGAAGAGGAGAGAAGAGACTGATCCTAACACATGTTGTTGGCTTTAGTCACTAGGGCAATGCGGACCACCTGGGGGATGTGTCTCCAGAGGGGATGACTTAGGTTTGCATTTCTTAAAGATCATCCTGATGGTCAAGTGCAGGGGAGAATGATAGCAAAACCAACAGGGAGCTTAGGCAAGAGATGCTGGCTTGTTGCCAGGGGAGGAGGTAATGAGCCTGGAGAGGAGAGGAGAGATCCCAGGAATTTTTAGGAGGTGAAACTGTAGAATTTGTTGATGGAGGGAATGTGGTAGGAGAAAGATAGGGAGGGGATACGATGATCTGTGGCTTTCCTGTGGAGAGGTCTGGGTGGGTTATTATGCTCATGTGGAGACTGGTGATATTGTAAGGGGATTGCATGGGGGTGACAAGAGCAGAGATCAAGAGCTTGCGTTTGGACAGGAGTTTGATATTTCACAGGTTGTGTTTGGGGTTCTCCTGAAACATCCAAGCAGAGAAGCCCAGTAGGCAAATGGATGTGGGTCTCAGCTGGAGATATGAAAGATCACCCGACACACGGGAATGGATCAGCTCACCCAGAAAGGGAATGTAGTGTGAGAAGAAATGAGGGCAGAGACAGGCTCAGCTAATGGTCTGGGAGAAGATGAAGCTGCAAGTGAGACTGGGAGAGTGACCAGAAACCAGGTTTTCTGCTAAATTCCTCCCCTCACTGCGTTTGTTGACTTTGGAGATAAATCAGAAACATTATGTTTTGAGTCTGTGATTAAGGTTCAAAATATAAAAGGTCACTCTATCTTTCCTATTATCTTTCTGGAACAGTTTTGTGGGAATTTTTATAAATGAAGCTTCTCTTTAGTCATCGTTATCGTTATCCCCGTCTCCTTCCACATTTATACCTATGCGTACACATCACTATTATATGGCATTTGACATCTGGAAATATACATATTTTAGATACGCATGAAGCAAATAGAGAAGACAACATCTCTGCTGAACCTGAGCTGTTCATGAGATGGGTCACTTTCATGTAATAAAATGAGCACTTACTGTTTTGATAGGACATCTGTATCAGTGCAGTGAAGGAGAGAGACATCGAACAGAAGCTGAAGCAAGTGATTAATGAATGGGACAGCAAAACATTCACATTTGGCAGTTTTAAAACCCGCGGAGAGCTTCTCCTGCGAGGAGACAGCACCTCAGAAATCATCGCCAACATGGAGGACAGTTTGATGTTGCTGAGTTCTCTCCTGAGCAACAGGTGGGAAAACCRTCTACGGTTGCCCTTATATTTGAGAATCACAGTAATGGACATTCCAAGGGAAGTTAAGAAACACGCATTGCAATAATACCCTTCATACAAATAAAATACTTGCTTTAAATTTAGCCTTTGGCACAGCACATGTAACAATGGTTTTATTTCATTATCCTCTATTTGTGGGATGTGTCTGAGATAGAGTGGACAAAATAATGCTACGTGTAATTAACCACTTGGATCTCCCTGAACATTTCAGCTTTGCTTTGCTGCACAGCTGACAGCTCTACAGGCTCTGGGTTCAGGGGGAACATTATTCTGAATTCCAGAATAATCATTCTACTTGAAAAAAGCTTTCTGCCAACATTTATGGACTAGAATTCTTAGTTGTGTACATGCACTCCAATGAGATGACAGATCAAGATACGGGATGAATTTGATTCATAATGAGGAATAACATTGCATAGTGAAAGGCCAGGCTAATAGTTCCATTTGACTATTTGATGGTAACAACAAAGCCATCACATTTTGGACATGGAAACTGTAGACTCATGAACTTAAATTTGCTTGGGATGTGTAAGMGATGAGCTTTCCCTTGCTCTTTCCAAAATAATTTTTTTTTTGTTCACCAGGATCTTAATAAATGGTAATTGTATAATATGTGGATACCATAAAGATATGAATTTATTGTGCTATTCTAGCTTTAAAATATCACTCTCCTCCCTGGGCACGTGTGTATCAATACTTCAAATATAGGAAGTGCCATCTCTTTAAACCTGTATTGATAAAAAATTCCTTTTCCATTTTCTTGGTACTCCCAAGTAACATGGGATATAAAATTAGGTTTTGGAGATTTAGACTGTTGGTGATGTCAAGTTTGGACTGCTCAGGATTTAGTTTTCTAAAACGTAGTCACTATGCATATAGCTTAAAGAGTTAAGATTTTTAAARGGGGTTTTAATTCAAAAAACAACATCAATACAACAGAAATGAAACATTGAGCATGTTTCTTATTTTAGGTACAATGTGCCATTCAAAGCCCAGATTCAAAAGTGGGTTCAGTACCTTTCCAATTCAACAGACATCATCGAGAACTGGATGACCGTGCAAAACTTGTGGATTTATCTGGAAGCTGTCTTTGTGGGAGGAGACATTGCCAAGCAACTGCCCAAGGTTTTTGAATTTTTAAATATTTCCTTGAGGTTTTTTTTTTCAATTAGAGAAAAATCCAAGAACTAATAACCTCTTAAAGAAYGCAGTAATATTTTAATCTCTATTGTACGCCTGCCCCCAGACTTTTTGTTTTCTGCTGTGGATGTTGTTCTTCAGAGTCAGTGAGGAATTGTGGAAAGCAAAAGGGCAATACCGAGAGTAAGAATGCAATGAAACTGTGATGTTTGGCAGGAAACCCAGGGTTTAAAAAAACAGACTGTGAATTCCCACATAATTGATGTGCTTCTTCAGATAATGTGGAGGTAGAACTGGAGCAGTGTGGAATTATGGTATAGTCATCTTGACAATGGTTGGATAATTTGTTCTTCTACAGCTGACATTTAAAAATAATGCACAGTATACAATGTACTCAATTATCTCTGTACTGTAAGATTGAGGGGTGGAAATCGTGCAGGGAGAAAGCTCCGAAACTTGAAGGTTTTCTCAAGATGCTGAGTCTATTTTTCCATCACATTGTCATTAACTAACTATGTATACCTGGGGTATATTTAGAGATTTTTWAAAAAAGACATTTTAACCAAATCTCAAGAACTCATTCAATTACCAAAAGTTGTTTGCAACATTATAGTTTTAACAACATATTTGAGCTTTAACAATCTATTTGAGCATGATAATGTTGACTCTTCATGTAGGTTTTATAATCTTTTCTTTGGTTAGTTTTTAGTTATAGAAGGCAGCTGTTATCCCATTGTAAGGCAGAACATTTGTTTTTTGGTCAACAGTGAAATGTATTCATATGCTAAAATTTTAAATATTTACTTATTATTTTTTTTGATTTATATTTGGGCATGTTTTTCTTATTGGGTAGGAAAAAATCTAAAATTGGACTTAATGAAAATTTTCACATGATGTTAAAGAAGTGAGGTAAAGTTTCTTGCTCCCATATTTGATAATATATTCTCATTGGTAATATATAGAAAGTTTTAGGGAAGAAGTTATTTATATTCTCTCAAAATTATCTGTTTTCCACTTTTTCCTGAAAAAATGAATTTTTTGGTAACATAAGTTACCCTAGGATTAATTTTTTATTCATATTTTAAGTGTTTGTCCCCCACCCCAAACATATAAAAAGTTAAATACTTAGTGTAGAAAACTTGAAAATAGAAAATTCACTCCATTTAGAGATATGCATGAAAAATAATTGGGAATGTCCTTCCCTCTTAAATCCTCTTGTAAACTATTATTAATTTTATGTCAGTTTCCTGTTTATACTTAAAATAATGAAAGTATCCAGGGTTGAGCTAAAGACACTTACTTAATAAAGGGAGTGATATAATGCAAAAGACCCTAGAAGTCAGAACATGTGTGAGAATAGGCATGTGTAACGTGGGTGTCTGGCCTCCGCTGGAGATTTGTGAGATGCTCTGCCCTTGAGATGGCAGAAGTGTCCAAATGTGCTTGTTACGTCATTCTTACAGGAAGCCAAGCGCTTTTCCAACATAGATAAATCTTGGGTGAAGATCATGACTCGGGCACATGAAATGCCAAATGTGGTCCAGTGTTGTGTTGGAGATGAGACCCTGGGGCAGCTCCTGCCACACCTGCTGGACCAGCTGGAAATATGCCAGAAATCCCTTACTGGGTAAGTCCACTGGCTCTTTGAAAGCCACCGGATCTTAGGGAGAAAAGGGAACATGGAAAGGAGGTAGAATTAGTGGGTTGTGTTTTCTTCACTAAGACTTAATTCATGTACAAAGTTGTGTGCAGTTAAACCTTATCTTCTCTCCAAACACTTACTCTGTTGGTCCTGATGTTGGACTCAGAACTTAGGTTACTTCCCTCACTGACATAAGATCATGAAAATATTCTCTTACAGTCTTTGCTTTTTAAATGAATATACCTATTTTTTTCTGATTTTCTTCTGGAAAAATGTCTGTACAGCTAAAATATTTCATTATACTTATTATACGAAATAGTATGAGTATATAAGCAGTCAGGATTATAGAGAAATAAGATGTTGAGTTGGGATCCTTTTGTGAAAGTTGAAGTGTCCAAGTAAGATGATGTCTAATATAATATCTATCAATGTACCCATGCACACATATGTAAGCTTGGTGAATTGTAAGAGTGATAAAGTTTCTCTATTTTATTGTTCTTGGTTAATAGAAATAGAACTATTTGAGTATAACCATGTTAAATAGTAATCTAAGGGTACCTTGATGCTCCTGGCAGACACTCAGTCTAAGCATTTAATAATGAGGTCTTGAATAATGAGGTCTCCTTGGCTAACTCTGGGAGAGAGATGATCTTTTCCCATGTGTATGTCCTAATGTCCTTATTACCTGTAATGGGGTCCTCACAGGCTAACCAGCTTGTCCTATGCACTGGGGAGCCCAGATTACCTAAGGCAGGTGCTCTCATAGACATAGGTGATGGTTAAAATACTGGACTTTGAGTGGCACTGTGGAAGGATCTCTGTGAAGTAAATAGAGAAATTCACAAAACTTGAACAAAAAAGTGACTAAGCTAAAAATGGAAGAAATACTATATGATAACATGAAAGTAATATGTATTATTTATTCTTGGCTAACCAGAAGATGTTTTGAGTTGGTTACCAAAAAATGATAAAGTAATAAGATAGTTTAGGTCCAAGGAAAAGAAGGGTTTATAAACTAAGATGATAAAACTGATGCAAAAACTCTGAAAATTGACCTCAGATTCAGAGACCAAAAGTTCTTCCTAAAGATGAAAGCAAAAGGTGACATACGATTAGGTACAACACCAATAGGTTCCATTACATAAAAGATACTAGTTGCTCAGGAAAACATTTATTTCTTTTGTCCTTGAGTTGATACCTTGGAGGCATTGTGTGTGTGTGTGTGTGTGTGTGTATGTATGTATGTATGTGTATGTATGTCTTAAAAAGGATCCATAAGCAGAATCCTCACCTACATTTTTATCCCAGTGTGGGTCAAACATGAGTCATTCTAGTGGAATAGCTTGAGCCCAGGAAATAGGATGGGATGACTGCATAGACTACAACAAATCCTTTTTGAATTTCAATTTTTTTAATGGAAGGCATTGGATATTGTAAAATGTGAGAGATTTAAGTCCTGGCAAGGATCCAGTGGATAGTTGAGCCATACTGCTGGTTAAGAACAAATCCATATRTGACAATGGTTTGCTCAGTTGGTATCCATTTAGGAACATTGAAGGGTCAAAATAAGACCGTGCCTAAACAAATGTCTACTCCACTACCTTGGGAGTAGTCAGTAAGAGCTTGAGGTGGGGCAGAAATTTTCTTTAGCAAATGTTTGTAAGTTCCCTCTAATTTAAGTTGTGGGTGTTCCAAAGCAGTATGCTGTAGAATATGCCCAGAAATCCTTTCCTTTGGGGGACTGACCTATGCAGCTTTATTAAACACCATCATCATAGCCTGTGCCAGTGCTAGGAAATCACCTTTTAACTATGTGCTTTTAAAAAAAATTGCAAGTAAATCTTCCAAAGGCACTTTTAGAAAAATGGACTCTCAGGTATTAATGGCTTGATTTGCTTTATAAAATTGTCAGATCAATCAAACAACCATTGAAGGATATTTGACAAAAAGAATTTTTGTTTTCAAATGATTGACATTTTGGCATTTTTTTAACCTCTTCAGAAGATAAAGTCTAAAGTTATTCACAATTTGTTTATTAAGTTTTTTTTTTTGTCTTTTGACAGTTACCAAGGTAAGGTTGCATGCCAAAATGCCTAGTATAAACCCTTGAGTACTCCTATTTACACAAAAGCAATACCCACCCAGGCTATCAAGGATTGGCATGGACAGGAAGAGTCTCCATACCAATCAGATCATAGTTTGGGGGGGCAGGTATGAGTCCATGAGGACGTCGCCTTGCCCACCCCATCACAGAAGCTGGATTGACYTACTCCATGAGGCTTCTCCAGCCTGGTCTAACCAGAGAGAAAACATTAGCTGATTTCTCACCAGAATCAGACTAGGAATACGAATCAGTAGGGAAGTTACTAAGAATAGAAATTCAAGCTAGACGAATGAGAAAAATTGGTGTATTAAATAATAAAATGAACAGTTTCAAGTGAAGGAAAATTAGAAAACCAAAAAAAAAAAAAATTAAACATTATAGAAGAGTAAGACTAAGAAAATGAGATGTGTAAGGGCAGATGCTGGGCGGCCTGTTTTCATCCTACCCCCATCCCCCCACMCCATGAGACTTTGCACTTTTGCACACACCCAGAATAAATGGATCCAGTCGCCACACAGCAGCTTGTAATTCACATTTTACGGAGCATCCTGGTCAGAGTCAGAGAGGACGATTACAACCCACACACCAAGCCTTGCCTATTATCTCACCCAAGACATGTCCACTTCTTCCCCAAATCCTCACTTATTGTGAGTTTCTCCTTCCTTTTTCATTTTTTTTGCCTCTTTGTGAAAAATAACCTCACTTGTGTCTTGAAGAATTTGGCTCTTGCGTGGCCTGCACCTCCACTCAGCAGAACACGTCCAGGGGTCGCCTGACAACTCTGGGGTTCCTCCCATGTGTCCTTGAGACGGCCACCACGCTCTGGTTTCTGATCCCTGGGATCTGCTGCCACAAGCTCTGTTTTCCTGGGAAGAGAATTCTGCTGCTATGATATGGGGGTGTTTTCTCATAATTTTACACAGGAAATAAATAACACAGATGGCAAGGAAGAGTAAAGGGTTTTCAAAAATCTCAAAGTTTAAAACAGACCAGTAAAGTTTCAAAAAGAAACTTATTCCACGGCGCGACCAGCACGCTGGCTTCATACGAGAGGTTCGAAGCATAGAAGTTAACTAGTGAGATCACAATAAACACACAAACTCAATTTACCTTTTTCTTTGACCAGGTGTGAGACGGCCCTCCCTCTGGCTCCTGCCTCGAGCCACCCGGTGGGGCATCGAGGCTTACTCAGGACTAGCAGGAGAGAGAGGCAGGGCACGCCAGAGAGTGGCCTTTTACTGGGAAACAAGAAATTCAGGGGAAAATTCCATCCAATGAAGGTCAAGGGAGACAGCATTCCAAGGTCAGGGTCAGTGATTGGTCTCAGGGTCAATGGTCAGTCACACCCCCACATGGATGGGCTCTCTCACCTAGAGAGGGTGGGGATTAGTTCTGACACAGATTAGCTGGAATGCCTCACACCCAATCAGGGAGGTGCCCAATCATGTGCCAGAATGGCTTCCCACATATTCCCCCTTGTTTTTCTTAAAAATCAGGTGGTGGTTCACTCTTTCAAGTTTCTGCATTCTTGTTCCAAAGACTCGCCATCCAATTAAAACCACAATCATGTCTGGTGTGGTCGTGCATGCCTGCAGTCTCAGCTGCTAGGGAGATGGAGGCAGGTGGCTCTCATGAGATCTTAAAATYAGAGGCCAGCTGTGGCAAGTGTGAGACACTGTCTCAAAAAAACCAAGCTAGCCAACCCCAAACAAGGCCAAAAGCCATAATAAACAATTGAAAAAGTAAAAATGCCAAACCATAAAAAAGGAGCTACAATAATCAGAACAAAATATGCTAGAAAATGAGAGCAATAGAAAATGGTAGAATGAATATGTCCGTAGCATAAGGAATCACCATATCATAAAGTGAACATAGAAACCACGGTGCAGGGGAAAGTGCGTGGATCGGGGGAGCTTCCCCTGCACTCCCATGGCTCCCGGAGGCAGGCACCCCTTCAGAAGTTCACCCACAGCTTCTGCTCTGACGGAGGGCTATTGGATTCTCTTTTAAGATACACTTCTAAGACATGCAGACTTCAGGTGGCATGGAGTTTTTTTTTTTGCTGTGCTTGGAGACACAACAAAACCAAAAAGCAAAACCCCAAACTCTCTTTTGTGTATTTTATCCTGTTTCCTACAAAGGAAGCACAGGATCTTTCAGACCAAGCAAAATGTATGCCTTAGGTTTGCGAAAGATAAAGAAATTCTGCCACCAACTGTGAAAAAAATGTCTCCTTATCAGAATGTGGGATGCTGTTTGACAAATCCCAAAGGCACAAGCCAGACATCAAGTCACAAGGGAAAAATCAGATGGTYGTACGATCTTTCTTCCCTTCCATCCATCTCATTAATTTGTTCCTAAGAAAAGGTTAGCTTTGTGTGTTCATAGAAGTCTACCTTTTCGCTCCTTGCTTAGATACTTGGAGAAAAAACGCCTCTGCTTTCCTCGATTCTTCTTCGTGTCGGATCCTGCTCTTCTGGAGATCCTGGGGCAGGCCTCGGATTCCCACACTATCCAAGCCCACTTGCTGAATGTATTTGACAACATCAAAACGGTCAAGTTCCATGAGAAGGTTTGCCTAACTTCAATTGTTGGTCAACAATGACCAAACTTAGCCTATTGACTCTCCGTCTTAAGCAGCTCTCTGATGCTGTGTTTACAAAGGATGGTCCATTTATTCTTGCCCGGTGATTAAAAAGAAACTTTGGTGCCAAAATTACCTTGAGAACAGTGTGTGGCTTCTTAATATCCAAGGAGCAGACTAGAAAGAAAAATAATAGTTTAATATGACCAGGAAAGCAGTGTGTGCAGCATTCAGAATTATACATGGCAAGGTAAATTCTCCTAGACAGCCAACAAGACAAAGACACTAATGGCTCATAATAAAGTGCTTTGACTAAGCAGAATTGTTGTAGGGATTTGATTATTTTAGTCAGGCTTCAGAAAGTTTTGATATGCTTTCTTAAAATKTTTTTTTTTTTTCTTTTACACTCCTAACGTGTTTGTAGAATCATGGAATTGTGTGACCAAAGAGGTCATTCAACTTGAGGGACACTGCTGCCAGAAGATATCTTCTAATCTATCCTTCTAATCTATCCTTCCACCTAAAATTCTCTAGGAAAGGGACCTTCCCTTTTGACATTTAGTCAGTCCTCTGGTGTTTCATATAAATCCTTAGTAGCATTCCTTTATTCATCTTAGCACTTAATTTAATTTATTGCATAACTAACAGATGTCGTCCTTAACTATGGGAATACACTCACCCCGGGAACTTGTGCTCTGGCTGGAGCAGACAGAAAGTAACACACTGAGCCTACAGAGCACAGTGAGCGCCGTGGTGGAGTTACTTCACAGTCAGCAATTAAAAGTCAGTCACTGCGGTCAATCCCTTGCCGTGTCCCAGATGTGAGGCTGTTCCTGGGATTCTAAGGAAAAATGAACCATAATCAACACTAAAATGGTTTTTATGCAATGCAACACTGAAGAGAAAYTTGACAATTAAATTGTTGGTGATTTTGGACTTCCATTATTCGTATTGTGCTTTTATTAAGCACAAGGAGCAGAGGCATACCCATCAGGGAGCCCTAACTGGGTGCATGGGGTGTCAGGGAAGGTGTCCTGGTTTCTGAAGGTGAGTGGAACGTAGCCAGGAAGGTGAAGAAGAGAAGCCTGGTGTGGTCAGGAGGAAGGGCACCTGGCGAGGACCTGGAGGTGTGCATAGCCCAGGATGTCAGAGCGCTGGGCTGTGGGGGTGGATTAGGCCTCCATGGCTTGGGACAGCAGAAATGTGCTTTCTGTTCTGGAGGGGAAAGTCAGAGGTAAGATGGCGGCAGTGTTGGGTCCTGCTGGAAGTTCTGAAGGAGAGGTTTTCCACGTCTCTAACATGATTTCTCATGGTGGTCAGCAGCCCTTGGTGGTTTTGTTTTTGTTGCTGTTTTTCTTTTTTGATTGTAGACAACACTTTATCACCTCAATGTCTGCTTTTGATTTCAGATATTCTTTCTGGGTGGTTCTGTGTCTAAATTGCCCTCTTCTTATAACTTCTTATTACAACATCCTGATCCAGCATCACCTCCTCTTAACTACACCTGCAGAGACTCTTTTTAAACAATGCCCCATTCACCGGTACTGAGACTTACAACTTTAACGTTTAGGGCATACACTTCCACCCAGAAGAGGGAGCGATGGGCACAGGAAGAAAGAGAAACAGGCTAGATTCCAAAGTCCAAGGGCCTGGCACTGTGGAATTCCACTTCATCCCAGTGTGACAGAAAGCCACGGGAAGCTTCTAAGTGGGGCAGTGACCTGAGCTGTGTTGCGCTGCAGTGTGGGAGGTGGAAGGAGAGCAGCAGGGGTGGAAAAGCCCAACAGGAGAGGCAGAGGGGAGGGAAAGCAGGATGGACAGGAATGGTCAAGACCAGTGCTACCTGTTGGCCATGAGTGTGCACGTTGAAAGGGAGCTGATTAGTCAGAACTGCTTCTTAATGTTTTGCTTAAATCTTGCTGCTACACCCCTAGAATTTCTCACTGCCTCCAGCTGTAGATTGCAGATGATTGAGGCTTCCTCATTGGTTGATTAAAAGCCCACAGATCCTTAACCTCTGTTCATAGCTCATGCTTCTTAAGATTGCATTTCTTTTGTTTTTTCTTGTTCCTTCCATAAGGATTCTACAACCAGGGCAGATCCTGGTTTTATGGGTTCTAAATATTATAACATTACAAATACAGAATTATATTCAGAAATCCAGAAAGGGTCCATGTAAATGAGGAACCAGAATCTTACAATTCATTAGATACCTGGAGCATCATTGCTGTCTACAAGTGAAGAGGACTTCATTAGTACATCCCTAAATCTGAGTGCAAATAGATGTTCTTTATATTTTAATTTTTTTTAAGTTGTAGAGGTAGACACAATACCCTTATTTATTTATTCACTTATTTTTTTATATGGTTCTGAGTGAAGTAGGATTCTGCCCTCCCTTACTGGCATTGAACCCAGAGGCATTTTATTAGTGAGCCACATCCCCATTACTTTTTTTTGTTTTTAATTTTAAGACAGGGTCTTGCTAAGTTGTTGAGGCTAGCTCTGAACTTGTGATCCTCCTGCTTCAGCCTTTGGAGCCCCTGGCACCAAGTGTGATTTTCTTAGTGTCAGTGTTGTTCTCCAGCATTGCATGTTCAGAGGATGGAAGAGGACCATTGGAAYCTGTGTCCTGGAACTCCAAATGCTCTGTTCTTCTCATTATGCTTCATGGAAACTGAAGTGTAAGAACTCAGAGGAGCAGGGTTTGATTAGAAACCATTATGTGACAACAAGTCCTAGTAAAGAACATTGTGTTTGGCCCAGAATTGGAAACACTTTGTAATTACTTYCTGCTATTGATCATGTTGACCGGGTCACTTCTGATGTCAACTTGAGACTCTTACAGTGTGGAATTACAGGCTCTTAGGGAGCCCCGTTTCATTTGGGAAAGTCAGAGATCTTTTCACCACCACATTTGTATTAAATATTTCTTTTAGAAAATAAGCTTATTCCCTTAGAGMATTAGCTATTTGGAATCAATTGAGGGCTCCTCTTTAGATTTCATGGTGAACTACTTTTATTGTTTTGAAAAAGACTTCATATCATGTTTTGTCTTATTTTTTATAATCTGTAGCTTAACTTTCTATGGGAAGGAAAACATGACAGGGAATGAAAGAAAAGGAAAAAATTATTTCTCATTGTTTCTTAAATGAACATAACAGTCTYTTTCCTCTTCTAACATAGGTGTATGATCGGATTCTGTCCATCTCATCCCGGGAGGGGGAGACCATCGAGTTGCACAGACCCGTGATGGCCGAGGGCAACGTGGAGGTGTGGCTCAATTCTCTCCTGGAGGAATCACAGTCTTCATTACACCTTGTGATTCGCCAGGCAGCTGCAAATATCCAAGAAGCAGGGTTCCAACTGATCGAATTTCTTTCTTCCTTCCCTGCTCAGGTCAGTGTTTTGAAATTGGAAGGCTTTTTTTTTTTTTTTTCTCTTTTAACAAAATACTCATCTTAAATCTCGGCTATTGGTTATTGTAAGCCTCACCAATGCATAACACTGAACCAATATTAAATTTTCATAAAGATTTATTAAGTCTAGATAAGCTTAAAGACTTTTCACTGCAGACGATTTGGCCACATAGAAGGTATAGACTTAAATATGTATTTTGGTTGTAGAGATACTGGACTTACTTTAACTTAAAAGAGTTTTGTCTTTCCCTGCTGAACCTCCATATGTAACAGTGTATATAAATCATAACAATTTACTGAGTGGGCACTCAGCTAGAAAAAAGAAAAATACATTTCATCATTTAAATGCAGGAAACAAGCTAGGCGTGGAGCGCATGCCTATAATTCCAGTGGCTCCAGAGGCTGAGACAGGAGGATCAAGAGTTCAAAGCCAGCCTCAGCAATGGTGAGGCATTAAGCAACTCAGTGAGAACCTGTCTCTAAATAAAATACAAAATTGGGCTGGGGATGTGGCTCAGTGGTTGAGTGCCCCTTAATTCATTCCCCGGTACCTCCCTGCCACCAAATATATA